GGGGGTCGCGGCACAGTGGTGACGTGGCATAGTTGGATCAAGTATAATGATATCTGACAGTGATTATAATCACTATCAAAAAAAAACGCTTCGATGCAAATCTTTAGATAGTGTTTAATTTTAAAAAATTGGTGTATTATTCCAAAAGCTACATGATCTGCTAGTTCCTTATTAATATCTTAATTAAGGTAAAGTATGTCGAATGAAAAAGGGATTATTAAAAAATATTATTTTTCATAAAAAAATTGTGTTGATCTATACACTTTTCAATAAGTTTTAGCATTATAAAGTTAAAAATATAAAAAATAAAATCGAGAATTTTCACAAGAAAATAGCATTCGGTAGCCATTTTCGCCGTGAAGACAAGTCTAGAGGTCAAATTTTTTTTTTTTTAATTAAAGTATATTACATAAGATTTACTTTAAGATATATATAAAAGTGTCAGACTTTCAGGAACACATTAAAAAGTTAATTTTTTGTAAAAAAGTTGTCATTTTAAATCTCTCCCTGTGGGCAGGTTAAGTGTCAGATTTACAAAAAATATGTACCAAATGATAGATAAAGATATCAAGAATCTATAAAAAAAAATTAAATTGATATGTTCATTTATGAAAAAGTTACGGCAGTTTTTAGTAAAAAAAATTGAAAAAATTTCGAAAATTAGCGATTTTTAAATTTGTAATTTTTTTGGAGGTTTCCCCCATTTACGGGGAATGAGGGAAATTTTTTCAATTTTTGAGGGTAATGTCTTCAACTAGATACGATTTGTGATCTTTTGACGTATCATTGAAAGAAATCCGTTCGATGAGAGCTGATTAAAAGTGGTAACAGACACAAAAAAAAAAATAAAAAAAAAACGCATTATAATAAAACCAATACCTTCTCAGCTTTGCATCGAAGCTAAAAAGGATCATCCAAACATTTCAAAATATCTGTCTACGAATTATAACATGAGCTTATTATAATTATAACTGTAACCTTAATTTGCTTCAACTACAGAAATTTACTTAAAATTAAAACTATAATTAAAGTATTATTAATTTAAAACTAAAAAAATATTTAAAACTAAAAATTATTGAACTATAGTAGTAATAGTAAAAAATTACTAAAAATCGTATTTCAAAAACAATGTTACCATTAACAACGCTAAACATATACTGACGCCCTAACCGGAAAAAAGCATCCTTATATACCCTTAGTGATCTTATCACTAAGTATTATTATCACATTTTGCCAGTTTATACAAGTTTAATAATGATCTCAAGTAACTAAATTGCTTTTATTTTTAAACATTTTTATTGCCCCTTATACTAAGTTCTTTTTAATGAATTACGTTTTTAATTTGTCTTATAATTTTAATGAAATGGTTATGTGTCAATAAATGTTCAGTCACAGGAGATTTATGAACCTCTTGATTTTTAATGTTTCTTATGTGTTCTTTAAACCTAGCTCCTATATTTCTTTTGTTTTTTCCTACGTAACATTTATTACAACATTCACATTGTATTTTATAAATGCCCGATTTCTCCCTTCTTCTACCTTATCTTTAGGGTTACCTAATAAATCTTTTAAGTTATTACTTTTAGAAGTTACTAAAGAAATACTAAAATTCTAGCTAGTTCATTAGAGATGCCCGTATAATATAAAATGAGTTAACTAATTGCTTTTTGTTTCCCCACTCTAATGCATGTACTAGCTGCTCTCTTCTTTATTCCACTTTTGTATACGGACTAATTTTTAAAATTATGTTTTCGTTCAAAATCTATTTTGTTCATCGGAATATTAACTTATCTGTAAACCATACTATTAAAAGTTGTCATTTTGTGTTATTAGCTGTGGTTCGAACTGTTCGGAATGTACCTGAACGTGTGTGTGTGTGTTTTCCGATAAATTTCAAAATTTAGTTGCCTCTCTACTCTTTTAACTAATAAATCCAAAAAAGGCAATGGTCCCTCTACTGCCTATGTATGTTAATTTAATTGATGGGTAAAAAAAATTTACATACTTAGTGATAACGTCACTAGGAGTATATAAGGGGTTTTTAAAGTCGGGTGTGTCAGTATGTGTTTAGCGTGGATAATGGTAACATTGTTTCCAATATACGTATCCGTGATTTTAATCATTTTTTTGTAGCTTTTTGAGTTTAATATTTTTAGTTTTAATTACTAATATTTTTAATATTTTTTTTATTTTAAAATAATATTTTTAATTTTAAATAATAATTCAATTGATTAATTTTTATTATACAGAAATTTAATCTAACCTCAAAATAATTCAGATATTATTGCCATAAAATACTATAAAGGATTTCATTCAAATTTTCACATTAACTCAAATTAGCTAATCAATCAAGTAGGATCAAATACTCTTTTAAGTAATCTAATCCGTCAGTTTAAATAAAATTGGTGTAGAAGTATAAATCACACTATTAATTATAATATTGATAAAAAGTACATAATTGTCATAGACTTATGTTACTAAATTTTATTCTATCTTATGATAAATGATATTGTAAATTATTAACTCTGTAAATAGCTACACATATTCAGACGACACTAATGTTAACGATATCTCAAGCAAATCAATGCAGAAAAATTTATATTGTAAAATTTACTTATTGCATTATAATTTTCATATATATATATATACAGGGTGATTTTTTTATCATAACCCACTCAATTACTTACAGAATAATAATAATTAAAAAATTTTTTTTTATTACTATATTTAGTTACACATTATTCTTGAATTATTAACTATGTAATACTTTTTAAGTTCATCCCTTATGCCTAGTAAGGGTGTCTTTGTTTTTTTTAATGGTAACACATAATNGTCAACTTTGTTTTTTTAAATGGTAACACATATTTTTAATTTAATAAAATGTTTGAGTTTTTAATTCAATAGTAAATGGCATTTGAATTTTTAATGAAACTTAATTTGTTTATTAGATATAAACATATNAAACTTAATTTGTTTATTAGATATAAACATTTAAAGTTTCAAATTTTTGAGTTAATATATAGATATAATACACAAGGGATTACAAATACAGGTAGCTAATTGATTTTTTATGACATCGATATTAGAAGGTACACAGCATTGTTATTATCAATGATAGTAAGGTACATTGTTGTGAGTTTATAAATACACTAACTGACAATACAAAAAGTATATCTATTGATAGTCACAATTGATAATAAACAATCCGTGACTGTGATAGCAATATCATAAAAAACCAATTAGCTACCTGTATTTGTAATCCCTTGTGTATTATACCTATATATTAACTCAAAAATTTGAAACTTTAAATGTTTATATCTAATAAACAAATTAAGTTTTATTAAAAATTCAAATGCCATTTATTATTGAATTAAAAACTCAAACATTTTATTAAATTAAAATTATGTGTTACCATTTAAAAAAACAAAGTTGACACCCTTACCAAGCATAAGGGATGAATTTAAAAAGTATTACATAGTTAATAATTCAAGAATAATGTGTAACTAAAGATAATAATAAAAAAAAAATTTTAAATTATTATTATTCTATAAGTAATTGAGTGGATTATGATACAAAAATCACTCTGTATATATAGAAATAACGTTTTATTGTTTATTATTAGATATAAACATTTAAAGATTCAATTTTTTTTGAGTTAATATACATGTATAATACACAAGGGATTACAAATACAGGTAGCTAATTG